TAAAAAACAGTGGCACTAAAAACATTGTAGAAAACTAAATTTTTGCCCTAAATAATTTTTATATCTAGACTTGGGTTCTACCACTAAGAAACTTTATTATGTAAGCAACTACTATGAAACCTGAAAAATGTTGATGTTTAAAGAACTTCTTCTCACAGTACTTAGTTAGTTAGTTAGTTAGTTAGTTAGTTAGTTAGTTAGTTAGTTAGTTAGTTTAAGAGAGGTGCTCACTACATTGCCTGGGCTTAACTCAACTCATGACCTTCCTGCTTCAGGCTCCCAAATGCTGCAATTTCATGAATGCACTATTGCATCCAGGTAGGTTCAGGCATTTTGGCCAAGAGATAGATACTCAACCTTTATACAACACACTGTGGACCTTGTCTTCTAGATTAACAAGAAAGGCAACACCCTGGTGAGATAAAAGCCAACAACATGGCTCATATTTCAGGAAACTTAATTGAAATGGGCATGTGAGAAACTGTCTTACAAATTGTTTTAGAGGATGCAGACCATCTGGAAGGGAAAGGGAAGGGCGGCTGATGGTGGCAAACAATTCCATGTGCTTCCAAGGGAGAATCTATCTGCTCAGTTTTGTTTGGACAGCAGTTCAATCCTGAGTCAATTCAGAAATGTGACAGTGGAATGTCAGCTTTGAATAAGCCTTCTGCTTTCGTGTGTACGTGTGTGTCTGTGTATGTGTGTTTGTGTGTAATGTACTGTACGTATGTTGTGTATGTATGTATGTACTATATGTGTATGATTATGTGTGTGATATATATGTGTGGCGTATGTATGTGTGGGGGGGTGGTATATGTGTGTGTGGGAGGGTGGTGTACAGTGTGCTTGTTGTGTGTATGTTGTGTACCTATGCATGTATATACTATATGTGTATGATTATGTGCATGATGTATGTGTTTGGTGTGTGTGTGTGTGTGTGTGTGTGTGTGTGTGTGTGTGTGGTGAATGCACATGTGTTTGTGTGCAGATACAAATGCCCATGCATGTGTGAAAGGCCAGAGGACATGGTCCTTTTTTATTGCTCTCACCTGTATTCCATGAAGAAATAGCCTCACGGAACATAGGACTGATCTGACATCCAGCAAGCCCCAGAGGTCCTCCTGTCTCTGTTCCCCATAGCCCTGGGTTTCTAGATGCTTGAAAACATTACTAGCTCTTCACATGGTGTTGGAAACTCATACTCAGGTCCTCATGCTTCTGCAGCAAATACTGTTACCCTGTTACCCACTGAGATACTTCCCCACCCCCTGCTTTTGTTAAGCTGTATATGCTCAGCTTGCTTGAATACATCTACATAAATATTCTATTCTGTGAAGAATTGAAAAGGACATGGAGAATTCCCATTGAAAATGAATCATCATAATTATTTTATTATATCTGCAATGTTTTTTCTCTACCTGATTTTGAGTCATATTTGTATTTTTTTATTCCCTTAAGAATGAGCTGATAGGAATATCCATGTACTACAAAGAGAAAAATTGGTGTTTGTGTGTGCATTAGAGAAAGAAAGAGAAAAAAATTCTTCAAATGAATTAAAAATAAAATCTGTGTGATCTTATCTGCCTAATAAACTATGGAAATGGTATTTTAGCCTCAGCAGGAGTTTAACTATTTGCATGAGTTTTCAGTTCCCTTAAGGGACTTCAAAAACTCTAAATAAGTGAAAGAAGATTGTTGGTTTCCTCCATAAGAGCTGGCTGGATGCAAGCCACAGCTGAAGATGAGAGAAATCAGAAAGGTCAGGCTTGGAGAGCAGCCAGAAACAGCTCAGATTCTGTGGCTCTTTTTGGATCCTACACCTGGTTGCAGGGCAGCGACTCTATTCTCTGGCTTATTTTTAATGCTTCTTTACTGATAGAAGACATGCATTAAGAAAAGAAAGATGTCAACGAGTACCCCCATGATCTGAGACTGGTGTGGGCATTCATTATTTTCAAAACTAGTGAGTTACCATAACACCTGTAAAGAGTTGTCCCCAAATTCAATTATACAATGATTTTTGATAAGGTTTTGAGACGGGGGTCTTCAGAAGAGTAGAGGATCTACTCTTAGATGTTACCTAACAGGGTACAAAGAAAACACATAACAGCAAAAACAAAAACAAAACCAGGTTTAGATCAGCTAGCATTATGGAATGATGGGGATTGCTCCTAGTAAGTTTGACTTCTGTCTCATATTCATCAGGTAGCAGCAGTCACCTGATACTTGCATACTGGAATCTCACAAGACATCCAATTCAGTGGTTTCATGTCTTGTTTTATTAATCCAATCAGCTAAAGATTCTGAATATAATTTAATCTGAGCATTTGCACATGGAACCATGGAAACTTCATTGATTTGATTTTGGTTTGTTCTAAGGGGTTTCTACATTTATTCATGATTCCCAAACCACCCAGCTACATTTTCTTTATTTACAGTGTTAAATTAATCTAATGTATGGATGATATTGAAGTTGAAGGAACGTTGCATCTCTTGGGTACTTTCTCACATTTGGTGAATAATGAAAATGGCAAATCAGATCTGTGAATTGTTACAGTGACTTGATAACAAAAGAAAAAAGCAGAAAGAAGAATGCTCCCCTTTTTCCCAACCACCCTGTGAGCTGCCCCCAAACATTCCTGTACTGGTTAGTTTTTATGTCAAGTTGACACAAGCTAGAGAGAGACATGTGGAGGAACTTGAGAGGCTGTCAATTGAGAATAAACCTCCATAATATTGGGGTGTTGGCAAGCCTGTAGGATATTTTCTTAATTAGTGATTGATGGAGGAAGGCCTGGCCCATTATGGGTGGAGTCATCCCTGGGTAGATAACCCTGGGTTCTATAATATGAGAACTGAGCAAGGGATAAGGAGCAAGCCAGTAATGAACACCCCTCTGTAGCCTCTGCATCAGCTCCTGCCTCCAGGTTCCTGCCCTGCTTTGAGATCCTGCCATCACAGCTTTGGATGATGACCTGTTATATGGAACTATGGAGTGAAATAAACTCTTTCATCCCCAAGTCACTTTTGGTCATAGTGTTTCATCACAGCAAAATAGCCGTAAGACAATTACAGAGAGCTTTTAAAAACCATTATTAAATGATATTAAAAAAGCTATTAAACTGACTTCTAATATGTTTTCTGTACTTTTGTACCAAAATCATATGGTCCAATACGTTAATTCAGACTTATTCTATGATATTTATTTAGTCTTCAGAATTTACAAGGAATTAAATAATCTAAGCATGTAATCCTCTCCAATTTTTCATGCTTACATTAATTGCTTTTCTTTTCTTTCTTTTTTTAATTTTTGGTGCCTCTTTCTCTGTCTATTCTCCATCTCCTTTCTGTTTATAAAACACTTACTGAATTATAACCATATGTGAATACTTCCTAAAGTACAGTGCAGGGAAAAAACTCAGTAGATAACAGCTATCAACCTAAAAGCTTCCTCTATATTTTCCCTACCTTCTCTTCTCCTCAACACCACAAATGCAGACAACCAATCCAATATTATTTGATGACACTTCTATTATTTTATATTTATGGTCTAATACATCATGTATTCTTGCAGTCTATTGATTTATTTCTGAATAATAATGTGGTGTCGTTATACCACATTCTCGTTATCAATTCACATCTTGTTGGGCTACAAAATGTGTTCATATTTCATCTGTTATACATAAATCTGACATCAATATTCATAACAAGCCTCCATAGGTCCATCAGATTTCAATTCTCTTGGATAAATACTAATAGCATAGTTGGATGCTGTGTTGGGTAAATGCTTAACATTTTAGAAAATCAACAAGCTGTTGTCCAGAAAGGTTGGTATTCTTTTCTATGGACTCCATGAGAACTCTAACACAAGACATCACCCCATCCCCAGCCCTGGATATGGCTTCTGTGCAAGGTCTCAGATATTCTAATAAGAGTGTGGGAGGATTTTCCTGTAGTCTTAATTTACATATGTCTTTTGACTACTGAGGTTTTATACCCTTATATTTACTTATTTATGATCCTTATCTCTTTTTCAATAAAATGTTTATAAATTTGGGTATTTTATTGGCTTGTTTGCTTTTTTATTATCAAATTTTGAAATAAAATCTTCTCCTAATCTGATTACAAGACCTTTACTGTTTATATGATATGCAAATACCTCTCCTCAATCTGTTGCTTTCCTTTTTAGTCTCTCAGCAATGTGTTTCAAAGTGTTGTTATTTTCATAGTAAAACCAAATTTACAAATGTTTGTGAATTGTACTTTTAATCTCTATATACAAACACTTTAGATATGTTATAAAGATCTTCACTCCCATTTTTGGTATGTCTTGTGATATGTGATGTGATGTGGTGTGAATGTGCTTGGTAGTGTAGGTGTGAGCATGTGTTTATGTGCAGGTACATATCTGTGCACATGCATGTGTAAACGAGAGGTTGACAGAAGTTTCTTCCCTTGATCATTTCCCACCTTTAGTCTTTGAGATAGGGCTAGTCAATGGACCTGCAGCCCATTGATCCAAACAGACTGAGTGGCTAATGAGCTTCAGTGATCCATATGTACCTATCAACACCAGTTGTGAGGACACAAGTATGTCTTATCATGCAGAGATTTTACATGGATTCTGGGAAACTGAGCTCAGGTCCTCACATTTGCATAAGAAGCATTTTTTTCTGACTGAGACATCTCGTCGGCCTATGTCTGTTTTTCTATACATTCCAAAGTTTAAAACTTTACATTAGGTCTGTGATTAATTTTGAATTAACTTTTTTCTCAATACACACAGACAGAGTCACACACCCACACTATCAAGCACATTCTCACCATACCACATACCCCCTTTAATTTGTTTAGAGTACATTATTTGATTTGATTTTAATCATGCCATTTCACTATACATTAATAAATATAAGAGCTGTAAAATAGAATATTTTATTTTAGGGTTATTATTTTTTGCTCAAACAACAGTCCCATTATTTTTCTCTAACTTTCTTTTATAGAATCTACAAGAGTAAACCTAGCAAAGTCTCCTAGTAATGGGGGATATGGAGCCTGAAACGGCCATCTTTTGTCACCAGGGAAGGCTTCAAGGAGGGATTATGGCACGAACACATCCATAAAACATTCAACCTACAGTTTGTCCTGCCTGCAGAGTGTTCTGGGACTGAAGTCTAGCAGAATCATCAAAGTGAACAGAGAGACTTCACCCAGCAACTGATGGGAGCATATATGTTATGGCTGAGTAGCTTGGTGTTCCCATGGGATTCTTTCTTTTTAAAAAAATCTTTATTATTATTATTATTATTATTTATTTTACAGTACTATTCAGTTCTACATCATAGCCAGATTCCCTTGTTCTCTCCCTTCCTGCCCCCCTCCCCTTCCCCCCAGCACACCTCCCATTCCCACCTCCTCCAGATCAAGGTCTCCCCCGAGGACTGGGATCGACTGATAGACTCAGTCCAGGCAGGTCCAGTCCCCTCCTCCCAGATTGAGCCAAGCGTCCCTGCATAAGTCCCAGGTTTCAAACAGCTAACTCATGCAATGAGCCCAGGACCTGGTACCACTGCCTAGATGCCTCCCAAACAGATCAAGCCAATCAACTGTCTCACCCATTCAGAGGGCCTGATCCAGTTGGGGGCCCCTCAGCCTTTGGTTCATAGTTCATGTGTTTCCATTCATTTGGTTATTTGTCCCTGTGCTTTATCCAACCTTGGTTTCAACAATTCTCACTCATATAAACCCTCCTCTTTCTCACTAATTAGACTCCCAGCGCTCCACCCGGAGCCTAGCCGTGGATGTCTGCATCCAGATTCCTCAGTCCTTGAGATCTACATGAACAGCCTGGACATGAGTGGGAGCAATGAAGGGCAAGGGTGGAGGGAAAGAGAGCGGGAGATCCTAGCTGGATCAAGAAAAGAGAGGGAGAACAAGGAATAGGAGACCATGGTAAATGAAGACCACATGAGAAAAGGAAGAAACAAAGAGCTAAAGAGGCCCACAGAAATCCACAAAGATACCCCCACAAAAGACTGCTGGCAATGGTCGAGAGACAGCCGGGACTGACCTACTCTGATGATGGGATGGCCAAACACCCTAATAGTTGTGCCATAAATCCCATGGGATTCTTAACAGTGGGAGCAAGGGCTGTCTCTAACTCTTTTGCTGCATGTGGATACTTTTCCTCCTACTGGGTCACCTCATAGAGTATTGATATGATGGTATGTACCTGGTCTTATTGTAAGTTGTTTTGCCATATTTGATTGATGTTCCTGAGAGGCCTGCTCTTTTCTGAGGGGAGGTGAAAGAGGGATGGATCTGAAAGAGAAGGGAAATGGGTGGGGGGAAACTTGAGGGGGGAGGGAGGGGAAACTACACCTGGGATGTAATATATGAGAGAATAATAAAAATAATAATAAAAAGAAATATATTTATTGTCCTTTGTGTATATATTGTGGCTTCAAGTTTTTTGCTTTTATGGGATTCCTCTGTGTGAACATATGTCTTTGTGTCTATATGTTTTTCTTGTGCTTTCTTTGTCTCATATTCTTTTTTTTTGTTTTGATCCACTCTGAATTGTTTCTGTTTTATCTTACTTTTCAAATATTATTGCCTAGATTTCTGTTTTCTTTTTTAATGAAATACATGTCTTTATTTTCTAAAATAAAAAGAATATACAGATTCAACAAATTAGCAAAACGTGTTTTACTTATTCATAACACACAATTTAAATTCAATAATTTATATTGAATTATTAAGGTACAAGACTGTGAAGATTTAAATTAGGTACCATAGTTTGAGTGGCTTTTTTTTTTCATTTTCTTTTTTTTCCTTTTATTAAAAACAGATTTTTTTCTCACATAATATATCCTGATTACAATTTCTCCTCACTCTACTTCTCCCAGTTCCTTTCCACTGAATTAATTTTTGTAGACCATCTAAGACACAAATCAAATCATATTTTGCATATTGAATTCCATTATTCCAAAACCTTTATTTGAAAGGTTGTAACTTTTCAACTATATTAAGTTTTCATCTTATCAAAAATTATATGTATCAAAAGCCATTATTTTGGACTTTTCTGTTTTGTGCTATTAATGTGCTATGATCACTAGGACAGTGCTTTAGAGTCAGGTCAAGTCGGTCCTTATACCTTATTCTTTTAGAGTTGCTTTGGATAGTCTATGCCCTTTGCATTTCTCTATTTATAATCAGCTTCTCAGCTTCCTATTTGAGAACAAAGGCAGCAGATATGTCTAGCTTTTCTTAAAGGAATATTAGTTCATTTTCTCAGATAGGATTTTTAGAAAAATTTCAGGAGCACAGTAAAAGTGAACAGAAATATGATAGGAATAGAAATTATTACAATTCATACCTACATTTGTCCTGTTTATTCATTGATTGAGGAGATGCTGAGATTTAACCAAGGGCCTCAGAGACACTAAGCAAGCCTCCTACCACTGAGTCACATACCTGGCCCATCTGTATTCTTATAATCATAGACCCTCTAATTATCAGCATCCAGGATTGTACATTTGTTAAAACCATTTTACCTACATTGATAGATCATCTTGACCTAAAATTTATAAACTTTCATTAGGTTACATTCCTGGCATCATACATCAGGACAAATACACAATGACAAGTGTCTACCATTAGAGTATCATAATGACATCATTCCTCTAAAATCGTCCTCTCCTGTGTCTGTTCCTCACTTCTGTCCACCTATCCCCTGGTAGACACTGAACTTTATCCATTCCTCACTTGATGTACATCTAGGTTGTTTCCAGGATCTGCCTATTACAAATAAGGCTACTATGAATATATTTGAGCAGGTGTCCTTGTGGTATGATTGAGAATCCTTTGTGTATATGCCCAAGAGTAGTATAGCTGGGTCTAGATTGATTTTCAGTTTTCTGAGAAACTTCCATATTGATTCCCAAAGTGACTGTACAAATTTGCACTCCCACTAGCAGTGGGGAGTGTTCCCCTTATTCCACATGCTCCCCAACATAAGCTGTCATCAGTGTTTTTGAATTAGCCATTCTGACAGGTGTAAGATGGGATCTCAGAATTCTTTTGATTTGCATTACCCTGATAGACAAGGATGTTGAACATTTATTTAAGTGTTTCTTGGCTGTTTGAGATTCTTATGTTGAGAAATTTCTATTTAGATATGTACCTCATTTTTTAATTGGGTTATTGGGTCTGTTGGTGTCTAGTTTCTTGAGGTTTTTTTTTTTTTTTTTGGTTTTTGGAGACAGGGTTTCTCTGTATAGCTTTGCACCTTTCCTGGATCTCACTCTGTAGAACAGGCTGGCCTCAAACTCACAAAGATCCACTTGCCTCTGCCTCCCGAGTGCTGGGATTAAAGGCATGCACCACCACAGCCCGGCCTTTTTATATATTTTTATAAATCAGCCGACTGTCAGATGTGGTGGCGGATGAAGGTCTTTTCCCATTCTGTAGGCTGCTGTTTTGTCCTATTGATGGTGCCCTTCTTCTTAAAGATTTTCAGTTTCATGAGGTCCTATTTATTAAGTGTCAGTCTTATTATCTGTGCTATTGGTGTTCTGTTCAGGAAGTTGTCTCTTGTGCTAATGTGCTCAAGGCTATTTTGCACTTTCTCTTCTCTCAGGTTCAGTGTAACTGGATTTATGTTGAGGTCTTTTGTCCACTTGGACTTGAATTTTGTGCAGGGGGATAGATGTGGATATGTTTGCATTCTTCTACGTGCAGACATCTAGTTTCAGCAGCACAATTGTTGAAGATGCTTCCTTTTTTCCATTGTATAATTTTAGCTTATTTGTCAAAAATTAAGTGTCCATAGCTATGTGTATTTACATCTTGGTCTTCATTTTGATTCCATTCATCTACCTCTCTGTTTTTAATGCCAACAGCATGTGGTTTTTATCACTACAGCTCTGTAGTAGAGCTTGAAATCAAGGATGGTGATAACCTCTGGAAGTTCACTTATTGTACAGGATTTGTATTTTTTTAGGTATCCTGGGTTTTTTGTTTTTTTTCTATGTGAAGTTTATTGTTTTTTCAAGGTCAGTAAAAAATTGTGTTGGGATTTTGATGAAGATTGCATTTCAAGTAAGGATTACTTTTGGTAAGATGACCATTTTTACTATGTTAATCCTAATGATCCAAGAGAGACCTTTCCATTTTCTGACATTTTCTCTAATTTCTTTCTTCAAAGACTGGAAATTCTTGTCATACATGTCTTTCACTGTCTTGGTTAGAGTTACACCAAGATATTATATGCTATTTGAGATTATAGTAAAGGGTGCTATTTGGGGGGGTGGGGTTTTAGCTCAGTTGTAGAGCATTTGCCTAGCAAGCACAAGGCCCTGGGTTCGTTCCTCAGCTCCAAAAAAAAAGCTAAAAGGTACTGTTTCTCTAATTTTTTTCTCATCCCATTTGTCATTTGTATATAGAAGGGATAGTGCTTTTTTTGAGTTAATCTTGTATCGAGCTATTTGACTAAAGATGTTTATCAGTTGTAAGAGTTCACTGGTAGAATTCTGGGGGTTGCTTATATATCATCTGTTAATAATGATAATTTGACTTCTTCCTTTTCAATTTATGTACCTTTGATCTCCTTTAGTTATCTCATTGCTCTAACTAGAACTTTGAGTACTATATTGAATCTGTATGGAGCGACTGGACAACCTAGTCTTGTTTCTAATTTTAGTGGAATTGCTTTGAGTTTCTCACCATTTAATTTGACATTGGCAATCAGCTTGCCATATATTGCTTTTATTTTGTTTAGATATGTCCCTTTTATCACTGATCTCACCAAGACTTTTATCATGAAGGGGTACTGGATTTTTGCCAAAGGATTTTTTAGCATCTAATGAGATGATTATGGTAGATTACATAGACAGATTTTCATATGTTGAACTATCCCTGTGTCTCTGGGTTGAAGTTACTTGATCATGGTGGATAATCTTCTTTATGTGTTCTTGGATTTACTTTGCCAGTATTTTATTGAGTGTTTTTTGCATAAACATTCATGAGTGAAATTGGTCTGTAATTCTCTTTCTTTGTTGAGTCTTTGTGTGGTTTGGGTATCAGGGTGACTGTGGCTTCATAGAAAGAATTTGTCAGTGTTACTTCTGTGATTTTGTGGAATAATTTGAGGGATATTGGTATTAGCTGTTCTTTGAAAGATTGCTAGAATTTTGCACTAAAACCATTTGGCCCTGGGGTTTTGTTTTGGTTGGGAGACTTTTAATGACTGCCTCTATTTCCTTATGTATTATGGGTCTATTTAAATTGTTTGTCTGATCTTGATTTCACTTTGG